AGGCGAGGTGCGGCTCGAGCGACGGGAGCGGGTGCGGCACCGCGCGCGCGTTGACCGCGACGTCGAGGCCGCGGCTGTCTGCGCGGCGCTGCAGCAGCGAGGCGAGGGTCGAGGAGCCCGTCTTGTACGTCTTGACGAAGGCCGAGCGGCCGCCGCCCGCGCTCACGTTGCCACCGAAGACCAGAGGTTGGCTGCACGCCTGCGGAGGAGCACACGCACGCACCTGGCGGGAGGCTGGCTCTCGCGCGGCTGTCGGGAGGTTGGCGAGCTGGCTGTCGGGAGGCTCTACCCGCACACACCTGCGGCAGCTCGACCGGCTCCGCCCCGACGCCGGCAAAGAGGCGGTCTCCGGCCGAGGTGCAGACTACGGTGCTGCGGCCGATCAGCGGCAGCGCGACGCTCAGCCGTGTGAGCAGCGGACCCTCACCGCCTCCTCCACTGACTTCGCAAGGGCCGTCGAGGCAGAAGCCGTACACGCCGTGGGCGAGGGCGTGGCCGGCCGAGACGAACCAGCCGGCGGCCTCCGCTGCGCCGCCGGCGCCGCCAAACACGGCGACCGGCAGGCAGGAGTCACTGGCGGCGTCGGCGTCGGAGCAGGCGACGAGGCGGAGGTGCAGTCCCCGGAGCGGAGATGCCTGAGCGCGAATTTCGACCCAGCCGTCGCCTGCGCCGTCGAGAACGGCGGACAGCGCGATAGACATCTATTCGTGAATGTGGCCGAGGGCGCGAGCGGGTGTTGGAGCGCGCGAAGCGCGTGAGCAAAGCTCGCACAAAAAACACGGCGCCGCGCACAAGCTCAGACAGTCGAGAAAGGGATAGACCGCAACGACAGCCAGACACGCCCCTTTCGAAGACTTAACATCCACCGGCGAGGGCAAGAGCTCACACAAAAACACGCTCACGGAAGAAGAAAGGGTATTTTTGTCGACTAACACGCAGAGATGTGAGCACGCCTCTTTCGAAGGCGACTTTTCTCAAAGAGCGGCGCGGGCAGCATTACACTCCGGGGCATTACACTCACGGCCAATCATACCCAGTCCCTCAAAAGCCGCATGTACATGCGTCGTCCGAGTGGCATCGCCGCCGCAAAGATTCTTCAGACGGTACGCGCCTGCCTCGGCCAGGGCAAGCGGCTCGACGACATCCTCGACCGGAACGCTGCGGCGTGGGCGGTGCCGCTGAAGCCACCCGGCGGCGAGGCTGCTGTCGCGTCCGCCGGCTCCGCTGCCGACGGCGGCAATGGCGGCGGCGGCAAGCGGCCGATCGCGCGCCTGCTCTCGCAGCTGCTCACGCTCGACCACATGCAGGAGGCGTGGGGCGTCTGGGAGTGGCTTCAGCGCCATCCGGACCCGGCGTTACGCCCGAGCCGGTCCGAGTACCTGCTGATGATGCGTGGGCTCAACTGCCGGGTGAGCCCCGACTCCGCGGAGAGCACGCTCCAGCTCTTCGCGGCGGCGGAGCGCCGCTGGGGCGCGGACGCCGCCGGCTACGCCTTCCACCACCAGGCAAGGCGCGAGGCGGCGTGCGCACACGGCTCGCTCGGCCAGTTCCGCGAGGCGCTGCAGCAGCTCGAGACGATCCGAGCGGACCTCGAGGCGGGTGGCGGGGGAGGCGGGGCGGCTGGCGGCGACGGAACGGAGCGCTGGTCTGCCGGCCGGCGGGGATGGCCGGGGCTGGAGGATGAGATCGCCCACTACCGCGCCCTCATCGCACTGTCGGGAGCTTGCGACGAGCACGACTACGAGGCGGGGACGGAGAGGAGGTCCGGCAAAGATGAGATGCGTACTTAAAGGCGGCATGTTCAAAACGTGTAGGAGTCTTCAGCGATAGACTCAAGTGTCCGAAAGCCTCACAACACCGCGAGGAGGCGAGCGCGCGCTGCGAGAGCGAGAGCGGCCTGCGAGCAAACACTAGTGGGCCCCGAAGATTGGCTGACCCCACAAACCCTCCTGCACAGCGAAGCCGGTGATGGCGAGCATCGCGAGCCTGCCGTTGTAGATCTCGTTCGAGCGCTGGTCGAGGCCCGCGGGAAACTTGGCCTCCAGGTCGAGCGGATCGAAGCCGAGATCGCCCGGGACGTACTTCTGGGCGGGCGGGGACAGGAAGGTCTGAAAGACCGTATCGGTCGACTGCAGCTCGATGTAGGCGGCAGCGCCGAGCACGAGCAGCATGAACGGCGCGTAGGCGGACAGCCCGTTGACGAGGACGGGCGCACGGCCGTCGGTGAAATCGAGAGCATGGAACGGGAGGCTCGACTGCAGCATCTCGGCCAGCGACCAGCCGACCACGGCGAGCATGGCGAGCCGCGAGTGCTTCAGCTCCGCAGCCCGCATCCAGGCGAGCGTGAGCTCGGTCTCCTGGGGCGAGCGCGCCGCCATGATGGCCTGCCGCTCCGCCAGCGACCACGGAAAAAAGCACCAGGTGTCCAGGATGCTGCCCTTGCAGGGATAGTCCACGTTGTGGTCCTCCACGCCCGGAGGCAGGGCGAGGGCCGCGAGGCAGAGCGGGTCGCAGCCCGCGTCGGCCGGCAAGGAGCCGTCGAGGTAAGCGGGCGCAGTCACCCCGGGCCTGTACGTGGCCTCGCGCATGGTGGCGGACGGCGCGCGGGCGGTAGTCGCCGAGTGCAGGGCGAGCGGCGACGTGAAGTGCATTGACAGCATTGTTCTGACACCGCCCTGAACTTTCAGGGAACTTTCCGGGAACTTACTTTGATAAAACGTGCAGTTTCTCTGTGTTGCTGGTCCATGTTCTCCCCTTTTCTCGTTTTTACTTACACAGATCCTTCTCCGCGCGCTCGATTTGTTTTGCTCGCGGCCGCTCTTCACATAAACGCACAACCCCGGGCCCGAAATCGCACACACACCGACAGTCAGACATGCAACACGGGGTCCCAGGGAAGGCGAGCAAAAACCTTATCGTGCGCGCTAGACGCCGACTCGGAGGCCGCACCGGTCATGCGCGCAGCCGGAGAGAGAGGGAGGCGCTCAATCGCCGAACTCGTCGGCGAGCGCCTCCAGCGTCTCCGCTTCGTACGCATCCTCCTCCCAGCAATTGCGCGCCTCCTCCACCCCCGCGCCCGCGCCCGCAGCGTCCGTGCCCGCGAGGATGGCAGCGACGCGCTCCCTCTGCCGAGCCTTCGCCTCCGCCTTCGCCTCCTGGGGCGTCCGCCTCCATGACCCGCACCACCTGCTCCCTCCACACGGCGACCCGCCCGGCCAGCTGGAGGAAGGCGTCCGACGACAGCGGGAGCGCGCTCTCAGCCTGCGTGTTGCGCCTGGCCCTAGGGCAAATCTGGCCCTGCGCGACCGCCGCAGCTCCAGCTCTTCACAGCCTTGTTATTGAGAAGAAAATAGAGAGATCACTCTGTGTGACACATTTCTTGTTGGCTTCTAAAAATCTCGAAGAAAATACGTCCTAGGAATCTTATGTTCACACAAAAACAACACCACAAACGCCCAACCAAGACGGTGCTCTTCACTCCGCTCCGGCGCGCCTTCTGTGCGTCGGGGCTGCTACAATTTTGCCCGTCATCGTGACTTTGCACGCCCGTTCCGCCTCTCAGTCTGCCGTACTCCAGTCGCATCGCATGCAAATCGTCGGTCACCGTGGAGCTTCGGCTGTCGCGCCCGAGAACACACTCGCGGCGATTCGCTCGGCGCTGGAGACCGGCTACGGATTCGAAGTCGATCTCCAGCTCCTGCGGACCCAAGAGGTATGCCGGGACACTTCTTGCGACCACACTCTGCAACACGCACGGCACACTCGTGGTCGCGCTTCGCCGGAGACCTAGCTACGCCCCGGCAGGTGGTTGTGCTCCACGACGAGACCCTCTGGCGCACGGCAACGGCGCACTCGTGGTCGAGCTGGCTGGGCGGCGTGGTGGACAGCGGCGTCCTGCGGACGCCTGTCTCGGAGCTGAGTCTCGAGGAGGTGCGAGCGGTCGATGTCGGCGACGCTGCGAGGGTGCCCACCTTTGCCGAGGCGCTCTCGTTGCTCCGCCACCCTCCGCCGCTCAAGGGCGGAGGCGGAGGCGGAGGCGGAGGCGGAGGCGGAGGTGGAGGCGGGCCGCGGCTCGTCCACTGCTTCGCCGAGATCAAGGCGGAGGGTGCGGCTCCCGGCGCAGGCTTCGACGAGCGGCTGACGGCGGCGAGCGCGGCGGCCGTGGCGGAGAGCGGGGCCTCGCTGCGCCCGCGGCGCCCTCTCCTTCGGAGGGAGGGAGCTTGAACCCAATCCGTCTGGAGCAGGTGCTCCCGTCGCAGCTGTCGTGGATCTCCTTCTCCCTCGGCCGCTGCGTCGACCTGCCTCTGCGCCTCACCGCCCTCCCGTATAGCGATCGGGACTCTCCCGCAGGCGCCTGCGTCGACATCAAGCGGCGCCTGCCGCAGCACTCCGCCTTCCTCGTCGCGTACGTCGGCAGCGCGGCGGACGCGTGGGCGGTGGCGAGGACGGCGCACAGATCGAAGCTCGACGGCCACCAGCCACTCTCCCGCCCCGCACAGAGAAGGCGCGGCGCTCACAGCGCTGGGTGTGAGGACAGGCATCGACCTCAACGCCGACCCGGCGGTGGTGAGCGCGGAGCTGGCGGAGTGGCTCCACGCGCGCGGCATGAGGCTCGCCGTGTGGGTCTGGAAGGCGCCATCACAAACTAGTAACCATCCTCACCGGAGGAGGAGCGCTAATCATCGTTCGCCGTGTGGGTCTGGAAGGCGCCCGCAGAGAACGACGTGCAGGAGGCGCGCCACGGCGGCGGTGCAGCGGGTGCTGCCGCCGCCGCCCGTCCCTTGACAGCGGGCGTGTGCGAGCAGGTGTGGGAGCACATGGACAGGTGCGGCGTCGACTACTTCACCTCGAACTTGCCGCTCGGGCTGCGGCGGTGGGACACGGAGCGAGGCTCGCCTGGGCCTTAGTGAGGGACCTGCGGAGCTGAACCTGCAGCAGGGCCGGCTGTCGGCACGAGGTCCTCTAGGGCCAGGTTTGCAGTGACCCCACACGGCAGAAAGCGTGCGACAGACTGTGACGGTCGATGTCGCGACACCGCGCGCATATTTGGATCTGCGCCATCTCCGCCCGCGTGTGCGTCTCGGGGTCGGCCGTACACCGTAGTGTCCGACCTCTGGGTGGCCTCCCAGGCGGCCTCGCGCTTTCTCGTTTTTATACCATATACGGTACGCATTTGACTAGTGGGGGAAATGGTGATTTTTGAATGAACGCCTCGCGCAAAACCGCCGCTACCATGCCACAGAAGACCCTTGCGGGCTATCCAGAACACCTAAGATCATGCCCTAGCTCTAAAAAGTGGGCCCGAGATACGCCAGCTAAACCCCGGATTTTTTCCGGCAGCGCTTTTGACGGTACGTACACCTGAAACGTATGTATGTACACATGTTTTTCTGATCGGGCTTCGGGGAGGAATCAGGAGTCAGTCAGGACCGCACAGGAAACCGGCACCAACTTGATTCGTAAATCGGAGTCTCCCCCTCCCCCTATGCGCTATGGGCCGCCACCCCCCTTCAATCCGTAAATCCGTAAAAATCGCCCAAATTGAGCGTGGAAGCGGCTCCAGCCGGTTCGGAGCGTGCCCCAGCTTGCGGGAGGCGATACACGGCGTGAACGAGGACTTTCGGCGACGTCCGTTCCGTTGGCTTGGACACGCGACACATGGCACGGACGATCTCAGCATTGTGCTGGAGGGTCTGCTCAACTCGGGATAGCCGACCTCAGTACGTTCGAGGCTTTGCTCTTGCACGATACAGGCGCGGTGCTCGACGCGATCCGAAGCACCGCTGCAGCCGCAGAGGCTGGTGCGGCGGCTTATGCCAACTCGGCCACGAGCAATGTTGTTGTGTCCCCAAGCAGCGTAAAAGTAATCTCCGCGCAGCACAACGGCAGCATCTCCCGCACTCTCGTCAGCACAGTCGCGCAAAACACGCTAATGTCTCGGACATCCATGCAGCTGTGAGTAGTGCGAGTGCTGAGATGCTGCTCCGGCAGGAGTTGGAAGAGAAGTTGCGGTCACAGACCAAGGAGCTCGCTTCTGAGCAGCGCTCTGCGGGCGCTGTGAAGAGGGCGCTCGCGTCGGCGCGGGCTGAGCTTGCTGCGGCACAAGAGCTGAGGCGCTCCGACCGCGACAACCTGAGGACAGCGCAGCAGGCTGCTAAACGCGACATCAAAGCGGCCGAGCGGATGGCCGACGTATCACACGCAGCTCGAGCTGATTTTGAGTGGCGTATCGGCGAGATGCGTGCCAAGATGCAGGCTGAGCTGCGCGAGCAGCTCGACGCGCTGCAGATTTCGATGGAGGCAGAGGCGAGGCGCGCTGATGCCGCAGCGAGGCGGAGAGGTCAGGGCGCTGCACAACAAGATGGAGGGGATTATGCACACGCGTGAGGGGTTGATAGTCGCACTCGCAGAGGCGCAGCTCGGCAAGCACGAATATAGTGATTGTTAAGAGATATACGTAGCGTTACAGTCGTACGGTGGTTGACCCTCCCACCGTGTGGCCTGGGCCGCCCGGACCCCAGAGCTGCGCACGTGCAGACAGCGTTGCGCGAGCGTTGGAGAGGCCAGCCTCCGGCTTCTCAGCGTGTCGCGAGTGCTGTGTCTCTATCTGCCTGGTGGATGGGTGTAGTGGGGGACTCCTGGTGGCTTTTCGTTACAAATTTACGGAATTACGGAATTACGGATCGACCCCCCTCCCTCCCCGTCCACCGCGGCCCGGCCCCGTGAGACGCCGATCTACGAATCAAGTTGGTGCCGGAAAAATGATAAAAGATACTTGATACGGTAAAATGACAATTTGACGTCGACAACCCCCAAGATAAACAACCTCACAAGAGAACCGAACCACACACTCCTACCACATGGACATGCAGCCTTATCAAGAGAACGACCTCGCTCAATTCATCTCCTCGATCAGCCCCAGCACCCTCGCCACCACTGCCTCGCGTGTGGGCGCCTCGACGGAGAAAGCATGCGGCACACCTTCCTCCACCGCCACCGCCACGCCCGCAGCCGCGGCGCGCGCCGCCGCCTCGCTCGGCGCCTAGTCGCACGCGTGCAGGGAGTGTGGAGAGATCCTGACCGCGGACAGCTGGCCGCCGCTGCTGCTCTCTGCGCCCATTCGTCCGTGTCGCCTTCCGCATACAGCAGCGCCTACAGGTGGTCTCGAGTGTCGCGGCGCAATCACGAGCCACGCCGGCGCCTCTGCGGCAAGAGAAGGTCGCCAGCGCGCCCCCGCAGCGCTCCTTCAGCGCGGCGTAGTCGTACGGCTCGGCGAGCTCCCTCGCCTGGCGACACGCTCACAGGTGCAGCGGCAGAGGCTGTGAGAGAGAGCGCGCCGAGCTGCCTCGCCTCGTCGCGGAAGAGAGTCAGGATGTTGCGCACCGCGCCGAAGCGGGGCAGCGCGCGTGCCGTCAACGACACCATCTCGGGGCAGAAGCGGCGCACCTGGCGAGGGCGGCGGGGTGCGGGGAGGGGTCTGGAAAGGCCGCTGGAGGAGCGCCGGAGGGCGGGGTGGGCGGCGTGTCATGTGTGCGTGCGTGAGTACGCGTGTTCGTGCGTGTGTTCGCGTGCGAGCGTGCGAGCGTGCGAGCGTGCAGGCGTGCGTGCGTGCGTGCGTGCGTGCGTGTGTGCGTGCCACGTCAGGGACGCACATCGCTCGCTGCGAGCTTGAGGAGCCGCTCCGTGGCGAAGCGAGGCATCAGCCCCACCAGGCCGGCGGCGCAGGAGAGGAAGAGGACGGCGGCGGGCGCCCACCAAGACGTCGCCGCCTCCGCCTTCGTCCGGACTAGCTCGGTGCGCTCGAGAAACGGCATCAGGCCAATCGAGCGGGTGGGCACGCCGCCAATGGCGCCGCGCCGCAGCCCCGCCCGCTGTGCGCCCGCAAAGGCGATGTAGGCGCCGATCGAGTGACCGACGACCAGGAGCCGCGCCTCGCCACCCCATTCCTCAGCGCCAGCCTTGAGCTTTGCAACCTCACCCTCGAAAAATCGGTGCACGTGCTCGCACTGAGCTTCGAGCCCGTATGCGGCCATCGGCGGCTCGAGCGGCGCTGACCCGTGCCCCAGATAGCCAACGACGGCGGCAGTGGCGCCGAGCCGCTCGGCGAGCATCTCTGCCGTCGAGGTGTAGTAGCTCGCGACGCCGGGGTTGCCAGGCACGAATATGATGTGGGTGAGCGCGGCGCCCACAATACCGACGCGAGCCACCTCGGCCGGACCGGCACCACGCCGCTCCACCGAGAGCGTCGAGCTTAGTCGCATTGTTTTTACTCACGCAGAGCCGCGTGTCTGCGGCCGACCCGAGCCTCGGCGGCCCAGCAAGCAAGATGCAGGCGCGGCGATAAAAGAATTTTCCGGCGGCAGAAAAATAACGTGTGGGCCCTCAGCGGAGCTGGGAATAGGACCGCCGCGAGCGGCGTGGCGTGGAGCGGTTGTGCATCCCTCCGGGGGCCCCTCTGCGCCGGGGAGGCGATGTTGGAGCTAGGACGCAAGCGTCCGTCGCCTACCACCCAAGACAGCTTGGAGAGCTCCCGGTAACGCTACATTTCGTAACGATCGTCGCTATTGGCCATCTGCCTCCTGCAGCCTCTGTTGGGGCGGAATGCGCGGGGTTTTCGGCGCGATGCCTCCGGCTAGTACACGGTACTGCTCTGCCGCAAATTCTCCTGCGCTCGCGTGACGTGTCGGGCGCACGCACTGCGCTCGAAAGTCGCGATTTGGCAATAGGCGCTCGAGCCGGCGCGCAGTGGAGGGGGCGCCGCGCAGGGGGATCGGGGGGGTGCGAGAGGGGGCGTGGGTCGGGCGCGCACCGGCCGGCTCCGGGAGCGGCCGTCACGTCGAAGAGGGGACCTGGTGCTGCTCGAATGACGACGCATGCCGCTCTGCTGCGCTGCCGATAGCCCCTCTTCCGAGCCGGCGCGTGGCGGCGAGCCGCGGCCAGTATCGCTGATGCGGTGGAGGCGGCAGCTTGCATCGGCCGGCAGCGGGTGCGGCCATCACGTCGATGAGGGGGGGTTGTCGGCGACTCGTGTGGCTCGAGGCCTACGCTGCGCCGCCCAAGCCCTACAGCCTACTGCCGATCCAGCGCCTGGCGTTTGGGGCGAGCCGCGGTCGTCGTCGCTGATGGTATATGGCGGCGGCGGCGGCGGCTCGCCCTTCCCTCCGGCCGCAATTCCGATCCCGCCGCGCTCGCGGGAGGTGGCGCGCCCACCGCGGCACGGCCGTGGCTGCGCATACACCTTACGCGCTTTCTCCTCAACGGCTATCCGTGCTTGCTGTGCCCCTGCGTGGTGTGTTTCAAGTTCTTACAACCCAAGGTGATAGAGGGCAAAAAGATCGATTGCGCTCTTGCCGATCCGCACCTACCTAGGCTCTTGGGTGGCGCGCCCCAGCTCTTCACAACGAACCTGGTTTTCAAACTCGGGGCCGCCCACTCCGCTACGCTCCGAGCCTCCGACCCGAATTTGGAGGGCCTAAAAGTTTAAGGTATTGCTGCGCAAAAGGGGAAGACACTCCACGCACAAAGTACATGCATACTTCCTCTTAGGCGGACCCTCCCGATGCCAGGACGCATCTAGTGCTAGTGTCGCTTTAGGAAATGCGGCGGCGAATGGCAAAACGCATAAAGAAAGTCGGGGTCGCAGAGAGCGTCGCGCAGCAGTTGAGCATGCTCGTGCGTTGTTTAGGACGCCACGCCAATTATCTGCGCGCCCATCTGTTGCCTGGCATCCCCTGCGAATTCGTCGCTCGTGATCAGCTCCGCCGCCGCTCGTAGCAACCAGTGCCGTGTCGAGATGAAGCTCCGCGACGACGCCCGTGGACTGCACGCGCAGGGAGAGGCGCACGAGCTCCCGCACGGCAAGCGACTTCTCGGCATGCGCCGCCTGACGCCTGTCGGCATCCCATTCTTGCAAGCAAGCCACATTTCTACCGACGACCGCGTATTTGGTCGCGGAGAGGACGTTTTGGTACGTTTTGGCACCAGCTGAAGGCTTGCACGGACAAGAGCCCGTTGCCAACCGCACTTTTGCCAGAGCCTCGCGAATCAATTGGCCTCCGCTCGGGTGTGAACATATTCGCTGCGGTCAAAAAGCAAAAAACCAAGGTGAGGGTGGGCGACGGCTAGCCCCACACTCCTCTCCTTAAAATTTCTATTGTGGCGGCGTGCCGTCCTCCCATTCCTCCCTTGGGCCGTCTGTCTTCTTTCTTTCTTTTTTTGGCGCGCACTGGCACTAACAGCGATAAAAGAATCTTGCTAGATGAAAGAACTTCCTCTTTTGACTTCGACCTTGTCCGATACGAGAGAGAGACTGTTGAGTCTTGAGAGAGGAATCGCGAGAGCGAAGAATCCCTGGGATCCGTCGTGTGGATCGGAGCCCTGGCCCCTGCCCAGCCCCTTCTCCGTGTCGACTGATCGTTACGATAACGTTTCCTTCCCCCCTTCCAATACCAACCCGGTGACCCCCTGGCCCTGCCGCTCTGCTCGTGGAGTAGAGCGACGTGGGGACTCGCCTGTCCTTCTCCCGTCCCTCATAGCTCATTTGGCTTGTGTGTGCGTTCTTCCCCCTACCGCGCGCCCTACCGGCTCTCTTTGTGTTATCTTTCTTAAGAAGTCATCATCAGGACCTTTGCGCGTAGATCTACCCCGCCGGAGACCTAACAGCCGCTGCAGCGGTCGGCGGCCTCCTGCGGCAGCGCGGCGAGCATCTTGTCCGCGACGAGGCGCACCTGCGGCCAGGCGTGCTCCACCAGCATCTCGACGGCCGAGTCGGTGGGGCTCGGCCACGCCGTCGCCATCGGCCGGATGGCCACCACCTTCAGGGCGGCCAGCTGCTCGAGGGGCGCGACTAGCCGGCCAACCTCGAGGAAGCCAGCCGCCTCCGAGTCGAAGATCGCGTCCGACGCCGACGGGACGCGAGACTGCAGGGACGCCATCTCTGCCAGTCGCAAGACGCTCACGCCGAGAGAGAGCTCCACGCCCTCCGCCGCCGGCGCGGAGAAGCTGGCATAGGTTCCGCGGCTCGAGTCGTACACGGAGCGCAGCCCGCGAAGGGTGCCCGCGCTCAGGCTGCCGTGCGCGCCGATGCCGACGTTCATCCAAGCGACCGAGCCACGCCGCCGGCTGGCGCCCGAGAGCACCGACGCGTACCCAACGGCGGCCGCGGCCAGCGCGCGCCCTCTCCCCGAGATTACAAGCACGTGCCTGCCGTCGGCCGAGCGGTGGGTCGCGAACGGACCGCCTAGGGGTGGATCGCATGGGCTGAAGAGACGCTCTTCGCGAAAGCCAAAGCGTCTGAGGCGGCGCCGGCGGCGCAGCTTGTAGTTTTGAGATGGCGGAAGAGCGGCGCCGCCTCGGCCGGAGTGGCCACGACCCACACGAGGCCACCACGGGAGAGGCGGCAGCTCGGCGGGCCGCCGCCGGGCGCGAGGCTGGGCGAGAGGCTGCCAGCCGGGGGAGGGCTGGCGAGGAGCGGGGCGGGAGGGGAGGGAGGGCTGCAGCCGAAGATGCGGCCCTCCTGCTCCCCAGAGGCTGCCCAGTGCTCGCGCAGCGCGCGCCAGTCGCATCGGTCGAGGCTGCCACCGCAGTATCCTCCATCGAGCAGGTCCGGGTACCGCGTGACGTAGCACCTGGCCAGGCAGAGACGGGGAAGTAGGACGAAGGGCGACTGTCTCCTTCTTTCGGGCCCGAGGTCCACTCACCGGACATCGTCGCCCTCACAGCCATACGGCCGACCCTCCGCACGGCCTGCGTCGGCGTAGTGCTGCAGCAGCGCCGCCCACTCGCACTGCGATGCGTCGCCCGTGGCGGTCGCGCCGCCACACCAGGCGGCGCTGAGGTCGGGGTTTCGCATTGCGTAGCAGGCTACGTCAGAGGAGGCGCAACGCATGATTCTTTTCTCGGCGCGGCCGTGCTTCTCGTGGAATGCCTGCCGGAGTGGGCGGCTTTGAGGCCTGGCCAAATCGTGGCTTGAGGCCGTGCCTTGGCCGGGGTGGGTTATACATTGAGCGTGTGCAGCGTGGGAGCTCCGCCAATGCTGGCACTGAGCCTATTGACTGGCACCTTCAGCCCTGCGTAGTCGCACGAAGCGAGGCTGTTGCCGCAGTACGCTTCGAACAGGTCTGCGTAGCGGAACGCGTAGCAGCGGAGCCTGGCGACGTCGATGTCCGGCATCGCGGATGAGCAAAGGTTGGCGGTCGACGGCGGGCGGCTCAGGGTGGCTGAATTCTCTTTATTCTACCCAGAGGGGTGGTTGAGGGGTTGAGGGTTGAGGCCCCCCCTCAACCATCTGGTTGACGGTTGAGACCCCCCCTCAACCCTTTAGTTGAGGGTTGAGGCCTCCGGGGCCTATTCACAGGCTCGAGCGTGATCACAAGATAAACTGGAAGAGCCTGCCGCCCAAAAAATCGCTTCGCCTGCGGCGCGCTCTTGCGCTCCTCGGACCTCGAGCGCAATCCATAAGTAGGAGACGCTCACTGTCGCCATTCAGGAGCCTGATCTCTCAGCAAAGCGATGGCCTACTCGAGTACCTGGTACGAGTTCAGATGCGCGCCCGGCAGAAGACGCGTGTGATGCCGCATGCAGTGGAATGCGCACAGAGAACGGACGGCAAGAGAAGGCAAGGGAAGGAAGAGAAACGGCTGGTGAAGCTCAGCTCACGGTGTAGCATTGCGTAAGCAACCGCGGTCACTAACCATCCACGGCAAGAGTCACGTTGAATGCTGCCGCATAAAGCAACAGAGTCGCGCTTGGCGCGATGGTCTTGTCGCGGTTCACGACTTGACGTTGCACACGGTCATAGACGCAGGATCTATTTGGCGAGTCTCAAGCAGCGAAAGTAGGCGCGAGAAATCAATGTCGATCCTGGGGTCACAATTTTGGTGCACTTGGAGCACTTGGAGTGCAGTCATCAACCGCACATCCAGGGCCGGGGAGCTAAGAAGCGCACCCAGCGGGCCGGATGATTGGCATCGGGTTACGGGCTAGAGAGCCCTAGCCCCGGGGGTGCGCGTTCGCAGGGCAAGGGCCTTAAAGTAAACACGGGTCTCCGAGGGTTAGCTCCGCGCTCCAGGTTTCCCCTAGCAGCAGAACGCCCCCTCTACTCGGAGCTAGTAAACACTCGACACGGACTCGACACGGACTCGACGCCCGCCCACACCCGGCGCCTCACCACTCCGGACCCTTCTTCGTGGTCTCCCAACTTTCACTTCGGGACGCCTTCCCCCACCTCTCGGTCCTTCCTTCTGGTCGCATCCCGATAGTTGTGTGACGGGCGCGGGGCCCGACCTCCCCTCCTAGCCCTTTTCAGCCGCGGCTCCGCCCCCATCTCGTCTCCTCTGTTGGTGCTGGTTTCGTTTTCTGGTACATCACGACGACTTGCTTGGGTCTCATGTAGCTCGACGGCTCTTCGACGGCTCTTTCTGGTTGGATCAGACAGTGCTATCAGTCAACAACGCAATGCCGAGAGCAGGGCGGCCTTAGAGCAGGGCGGCCTTCGAGCAGGGTCAACTAAGCTCCTGCTGCATATCGAGCATGGAAGGCGGCCTTTGCTCAAACCTGTTCGAGTTGGCCTCCGGGAACAAGGGTGCGTGGCCGGCGCGGTCTGGTTCACGTGCAATGAGGGTAACGCCATCAAAATCGCGAACATGGGCCGACATGCCTCCGACATTTCTCAAGGCCCGGACGGAAGCTCTGGCCTCTGCAGACAGCCAGACCGCTCTGCGCGGTCGGACCGACTTTTTCAGACTTAACTATTCTGGATACTGAGGGTATGTGCTGCTAGATCTCACTGAGCTGAGCTCGTATCTGCCTTTGGTAAGCAGTTTTGAGTTCGGTAATGTCTGCGGTAAGCTGTTTCCGTGTACAGAGGGCCGCGTCCGGACGACCATGACGTCGGCCGGGACCCCCCCGGTGGCGGGGCATTCGAGATGACTTGTCAGCGCTCCTCGTCTGGGCTTGGCATCACACCTCTCCCATCCACGCACGTGTACGTGTAGCTGAAGCAAGTACTCGTGAAAAAGGCGCGTCAAATGCAGCATCTAAAGAAGACGACATGAATTCACAGAGAATGTTCACTGTTCAGAAGTCTTTGCGCGGTGTGTGTGTGAGCAGCCATTCCGCGTGGTTGAAGGTTGAAGGGGTCTGTCAACCACTTGGTTGATGGTTGAGACACTTTATCTTGAAACAGAAATTTCTTTTTTCCTGCGAGAAGAAAAGGGAGCGCCGCGACGCGACGGCTCTGCCGCGGCAGCTCGACAGATACACCGCAAAGCTCGGATGCCGGCGCTCCCACGCGTCGACGACGAAACGCTCGAGGAGGAGGCCGACGAGGAGGTTATCGACGTGGCGTGCGTGGCTTGCGGCACGACTGACGCCAAAGCCTTCTCGCACCGGATGATCAAGCGGCGCGGCCGGCACGGTGACAGAACGCGGCGGTGCCTAGCGTGCGTGGCGTCGGGCGCCGGCCTCGCGACCGACCAGTCGGCGAGCGGAGTCGCCTTCGCCGCTCCTGATGCGGCGGAGTGCGGGAGTTGCGGCGGCACGCAGGACAAGCAGCGGCGGAAGCTGCTGAAAGCCCTGCGGCAGATTGGAGAGCTCAAGGAGCGGCGCGACGCGGGCGTGCCGCTCGAGAATACCCAGCTCGCAAAGATTGGCAGGGAGGCCGAGCTGCGGTCCGAGCTCGAGCGGCTGGAGGCCGGGGAGGCGACCGGGCAGGCGCGGGCGGCCAGCTCGGCGTTGACCGCTGCGCCGCGCAAGCGGCCGGCCGAAGACGAGGCCGTCGCGCCGCACGGGCTGCAGACCCGCCACGAGATCCGCGTGGCCAAGGCGCAGCGCAAGCTGCAGCGGAGGCAGAGGGGCGGGTTCGGCAAGCACTTGGAGAGCGTGGGGCCAGAGGGGCACGCGACGCCGATGGGCGATGGTCCGGGTGGGGACAGTTGAACAGACGACAGTGTAGGACTGACTTCTCAGTTAGCCGTTTAGGCTTTAGCACAAATAAACGGCGTGTACCCACATTCGCTCAGCCTCTCTCCCTCTCCTCCTCCTCGCCAGTCCTCGCCTGCCTCAGCCTCTCCTCCTGCTGGCGGTTGAGTCGCAGCCCTTGAAAGTCCGCCGCTCCCGCGCCCCCCTCCTCGGGCGGCAGCGAGTCCACCCACCCCGCCGCCGCTTGGGGGAAGCTGTCGCAGTACGGGACGTACGGCTTGATGTCGAGGACCTGAGGGGAGGGCGGCGAGGGAGACGTTTGCGCATCGGCACGCGAGCGGCGAGTCCGAGAAGCGCTCGCACCGGAGTGCCGTCGAGGAGGTCGACGCCTCGCACCCGCAGCGTGAGGTGCTGGACGGAGAGCAGGCGGACCGAAGACAGCCCCAGCGGCGTGGGCCGGTCGGGTGAGCGGGTGGCGAGGACGCCGCGGCGGCCTCCGCGCGGCGGCGACACCACTGGCCGCCAGCCGCGGGAACGGTGCAGCAGGGTGATGAGCCAGATGCGCTCGAAGCCCTGCAGGTGGGCGCGGCGGCGTGAGCTGCTGCCACAGGCCCATCATCTCAGGCGGTGTGGAGGCGTTGGGAGGGTGCTAAAGGTGGGGCGGTGGAGGAGGCCTCGAGGTCCCGCACGGCAGCCTCGAGGTGCCAGTCGCCGCGAAGCTCGACCGTCGCCTAGTAAAGGGCTCCGGGTTCCGCCCGGTCCTTGGGAAGGTTTACCCATTGGTTTGCCACTTGTTGTTTGCCCACAAGGGGGCTTTTGCCCTTAACAGCGGATGCACACATTGCCTTCCGAGGGCAGCCGAAACGTTTTGGGTAGGGGCTGCGTAAAACCCCGATGGGCGCAAGCCCCCCCGGCTTAAAGGGCGCGTTGAACTTTTGGCGTTCACCCGGCGGGAGCGAGGACTTTTTGAAAAACCGGCGGTTCTGGACGAGCGATTGGAACAACGACCGGGGTGTTGGCATGACTCCAGTACCTGGGTAACCCGACGGAGGCGGGGGGGCGGGCTTCCCCCGGGACTCACCCCGAGACCCCCCCCCGGGACGCCCCGGTTGCGGGTGAGGCCCCCCCCCCGGGGCATTAAGGGGCAGGGGCGGGGCGGAGCTCCTCAAAGTGAGGCGCCCCGGGTGCCCCCCCCCCCCCTGCCCCCCCCCCCCCCGCCCCCCGGCATCCGACCCGCCCATTCAGCTCTTTCGTACTTTCGTACGGAGCGTGGGTTTGCTTTTTCAATTTTTTAGGCGGGATTTGTGGTCAACTTAGGCGCGCGCGCGAAACACACCCGGATCTAGATACACGGGTCCCGTACCATGCGGAATCGACCCTATTCCAGTGCTCAGTGCTCAGACGACACAACCGAGCCTACCCGGGTATGGACAACTGGGACCAGATCATCACGCAGCGCTGGCGTGCGGCGATTCCAGCAGGCCCAGGCAAAGTGACGCGATCCGTCTCGCCGAAGCGCGCTTTTTGCGTCCGCATCGGTAGATAGATGCAAGATGGTAGAGATGTGCGTTTGGAGCAGTGCGGGCTGTCTGTGCAGAGTAGAGTGGGGTCACCCGTTTAGTTGATTTGTAGTTTGTGTTGTTCTGTGTGAGCGGTGGTGCCGCACGGGCCGCTCTCCCTCGCCTCGGGGCGTGGCGCTGGTGGGCCGGGGGCGCGCGGTAGGCGTACGGGGCCGCGTGCGTGCGCGTGGCCCGCCCGTAAGCGCCGTGTGTGGGGTGCCCTGGGGTCGCGGGCAGCGAGCTACCCCCCCGGGACGGCGCATCGCGAGTGAGGCCCCGGGGTGGGGCAGGTGAGGGAGGGGGCGGGGACGGCCGGGCCCCGGTGAGCCCTGGGTGAGGCCCGCCCCCCCCCCCTCCCTCGGGCTACTGTGATAAGCACATCAAGAGGAGGATATCGAGAGAGGGAGGGAGAGAGAGAGGAGGCGAAGTCAACATGAATACTTACCACCCAAGACAGCTTGGAGAGCTCCCGGTGACGCAACATTTCGTAACGATCGTCGCTATTGGCCATCTGCCTCCTGCAGCCTCTGTTGGGGCGGAATGCGCGGGGTTTTCGGCGCGATGCCTCCGGCTAGTACACGGTACTGCTCTGCCGCAAACTCTCCTGCGCTCGCGTGACGTGTGGGGCGCACGCACTGCGCTCGAAAGTTGCGATTTGGCAATAGGCGCTCGAGCCGGCGCGCAGTGGAGGGGGCGCCGCGCAGGGGGATCGGGGGGGGGGTGCGAGAGGGGGCGTGGGTCGGGCGCGCACCGGCCGGCTCCGGGAGCGGCCGTCACGTCGAAGAGGGGACCTGGTGCTGCTCGAATGACGACGCATGCCGCTCTGCTGCGCCGCCGATAGCCCCTCTTCCGAGCCGGCGCGTGGCGGCGAGCCGCGGCCAGTATCGCTGGTGCGGTGGAGGCGGCAGCTTGCATCGGCCGGCAGCGGGTGCGGCCATCACGTCGATGAGGGGGGGTTGTCGGCGACTCGTGTGGCTCGAGGCCTACGCTGCGCCGCCCAAGCCCTACTGCCGATCCAGCGCCTGGCGTTTGGGGCGAGCCGCGGTCGTCGTCGCTGATGCGCGCCAATCCAGCCAGTACGGCATCGAGGTGGGGATCTCGGGGTCCCAGTGAAGTGTGTAGACGACAGCGTCTTCAACGAGATCTTCCCACATAGCGACAAAGCGGGGCAACGAGACCCACGGGTTGGCGAGCCAGTCCTGGCAGGCGGAGCGCACGGCCTCCGTCGCCGTCCAGATGACAGTGTCGTTGATGACACTGGGCCACCCGCCCCAAGCGTTGTAGGCGAGGTGGGTGAGGAAGCAGAAGAGCACAGCGACGAAGATGCTGCGCTGCCCGCGGCTCAGCTCGGCGCGCCAGAGGGTGTTGAGGATCACCCCCTTGAAGTGCTCCAAGTCGGCTCGTTCCGCCAGCTTTGGGAGGGGCGGGGGGCCCGCGACGCGGCGGAGCATGGGGCTCGGGAGGGCCTGTATCCCTCGGGAAACTATGTGCCCGCCCTACGATAGACGAAAAACTTGATGCAGCATGCGCCCCCAGCATGCGCACCTGAGCTCCGAGATCGCTAAAGTAAAAAGAATTCTGACGAGTAGTAAGCATGAGTCGTCGTGTCCGTCGCCGGTTGAATGAAAATCCACTAGACCAATGGACCCCTGCCACTGTGGCCGCGGCGCAGGCCAACAGAGCACGTCGCTATGGTCCTGCCGGCTATAGCAGTGTGGAAGGTAGACCAACACTCGATGCACACGTGCAAGGTAGACTTTACATATCACACCTAAATGACAGTTTAGACAGTGTAGCTCCACCAGGGCATCCACGTCGCCTAGACATTCTTCACTGGCTTGCCGATGTTGTTAGTCGGGGACAGTCTGGTAATTACCGGGACGACTCGGGAAACATACGGCAAGATTGGCAGCGCTACGCTGCTGCAAGAGCGGATTGGTCAATGGAGCAGCACGTCACTAACTTTGGGCGCGTCGTGCAGACGTTTAGGCAGGCGGTGGCACGGATCGTACGGCGGGCCAAGTGGCGCCGCATCATTAGGGCCCTGAAACTGCGCGCAAGGGACGGACATGGTTTGCTCACAAGAACGGTCCTTTACCAAGGGCGACCAGGCCCTAGTATGTGGCCCCAAGTGCGGCGCAACCCTAACTGGAACCCAGGGCTTCGTGGGACGGGTACGCAGGGACATTTCTACAATAACCCTAACCCTAACCCTTAGTAAAAAGAATTCTGATGTTTTGGAAGCATGAGCCTAGACCAGTGGACCCCTGCCACTGTGGCCGCGGCGCAGGCCAACAGACCACGTACCTATGGTATGCCCCCCCACGTCCCATTAAGCCGGGGACCCATTACACTCGGGATGCATTACGGAAGTGAGCTAGTTGCCACAAGCACTGGTTCCTGGACTCAGTATGCCCAAGAAGTTATCACCCGGGGGCATGTGGGTGATTACACTGACCCAAATTCCGCTTACGGAACAATACGGCCTGATTGGGCGCCCTACGCGGCAGCAAGAGCAGCTTGGTCACGCGCGCAGCACGTCGCTAACTTTGGGCGCGTCGTGCAGACGTTCAGACAGGCGGTGGCACGGATCGTACGGCGGGCCAAGTGGCGCCGCATCATCAGGGGCCTAAGACTGCGCGCACGAAATGGATCAATGATAGCCCATTCTTCGCGATCAGCCCCTAGAATGTGGCCACGTGTGAGGGACCCTGCGCAGGCCTCCGACCAAGAATTGGCAAATTATTATGCGCGATTTGGTCCAAGCGTACCAATTGGTCCAAACGAATCGGTCTCTCATTATGGGGGCCTTCGTGGGACAGGTACGCGGGGATTCGACTAACTTAGTGCCACGCGACCGTTATACACACGGCGCCCCCCTGAGATTCGGTTGAGATGCAGATGAGCTCGCCAGCTCGCGCGTGTAATTTGTCGATCGGCCGTCCTATTCACACATCTCATTGAGATTGTTATCTAAATTGCATGTTCACAGCAATTGTCTCCTCTTTTTTTTCACCACCTGAGATCCCGAATCTCAGCCCTGCAATTATGACCCCAACTGCCCTACCCTGCCCTGCCGTACTGCCCTGCCCGCACACTGCCGCACAACTGCCCTGCCCGATCCCCTACCTGCCCCGGGTGTGAAACCCACACTGCCCTGCCCGGCCCAAACCACACTGCCGAGGTGTGAATAGCCGGCCGCTCGCGAGGTCTCGAACAAACTTCTCCATGGCGTATATGGCGGCGGCGGCGGCGGCTCGCCCTTCCCTCCGGCCGCAATTCCGATCCCGCCGCGCTCGCGGGAGGTGGCGCATACACCTTACGCCCTTTCTCCTCAACGGCTATCCGTGCTTGCTGTGCCCCTGCGTGGTGTGTTTCAAGTTCTTACAACCCAAGGTGATAGAGGGCAAAAAGATCGATTGCGCTCTTGCCGATCCGCACCTACCTAGGCTCTTGGGTGGCACGCCCCAGCTCTTCACAACAAACCTGGTTAGCGTCGGTCTCTACCACCCAAGACTGCTTTCAGACGCTTACGCCAATTTCCCCTCAACCTGCGCAAATCGTGACCGGCACAATTCGTGATACCCGAGGAGTCTGGAGCTTCAGCTGGTGAATCATGCCGCTCTCGGCACAGAAGCAGCGCGAGCGCCGCGCCGCGCAGCGCGCTGCCGAGGCTCAGGACGCGGCTCGCGGGCAGCGCAACCGCCCGGCGCCGAGCAGGTGCTAGGCCGCCTCCGCTGCGCCTGCTTCCTTGCGCGCCGCTGGACGTCGGCCGAGAAGACCGCTTCCCTCTGGGGACCCGACTCCGCGAAGATCGCGCGCGCGTCGTGAGTGGCGGCGCGCGCGCGATCTCCGTTCCCGGGCACGCCGGTCGCAGTGGCATGGGCTCCCAGGCTCAAAAGCGCTCCCGTCAACAGCGAGCGAGCGCCGCCGCTGCTCCTCCTCCCGCCGCCGCTGCTCCTCCTCCCGCCGCCGCTCACCGAGACCCGCCGCCGCCGCCGCCGCCGCCGCCGCCTCGCGCCTCGCCTCCGTCACCGCCGCCCTCCATCTCGCAGCGGCGCGTTCCTCTGATGGCGCGAGCGCCTCGCTCACCGCACACCGGCGCCTCGCCGCCGCCCCCCCCCCTTCTCGCGCCGCTCCGCTCGTGGCCGCCGCCTCCCCTGTCAATCCCGCCGCCTCCCCTGTCATCCCGCCGCCCGCACCACCGCCGCCACCGCCTCGCGCCTCGCGCCGCCGCCACCGACCGCCCTCCCCTGCGCCGCTGAGCGCGGTGCAGGGGGTGAGCCCCCGCTGCGCAGCCTCACCGTAGTGCACTGCGCTCTCCGCGCCCCTGACGATTAGTGAGGAGGTGGTGATGCACAGCATGGAGCTCGGCGAGCGTTTAGCGAGCCCCTCAGCTAGTAGAGGGAAGAAGCTAGTGCTAGAAGGGAGGGAGGGGCGTTTCGTTCTAAATTGATGAGAGGACTAGCACTCACCGCCCGCACACTGCCGCCCATCCCTCCAAACGGGCTTCTTGGGTGGAAAGAGATGCCACCGGTTACTCAACGCCTCTTCCGCTTGCGAGCGAGCACCACCTTCGGCCACTCTGGTCACCGCATGCGAAGCAAATCGCGCCGTGCGTCGCCGTGCGTGCGTGTGAGCGCCCCTGAGCAACCCTACCCACCCCACACGCCCACCGGCGCACCCTCGGCCCGCACACGCGCCCTGGCGACCCACAGACCTCCCCCGCCGCCGCGCGTTCGACGTGGTGCCGAGACCGCTCCGGCGGCATGACAGCCCCTGCTGCTTCCTGTCGCAGGAAGCGCCGCGGACGGCGCTGATCGTGCGTCCATAGAGCCAGCTCCGCGCGATGCCGTCCTTCCGGGCGACGACGCTCGCCTTCTGCAGGGCACACGGTGCGGCGCTGCGCTGTCGCGAGCGCGCCGCCGACATTCACTCAGATTCGCCGAGCGCTGCGCGGCTGGCTGACGCCGCTCGCTCAGGCGGGCGCGGCTTGTAATCCCTCGGCGCCGGCGACATTGATCCGTACAACGTGGCCGGACAAGGCCACAAAGCTTCCACGGGCGGGTGAGGCGCCGGTGATCCTAGCTAGCTGCCCTGCTGCTGCGATCGCCGCTGCCGCTGCAATAGCCGCCGGCGCAGGCACGACGACCATCATTGGACCATCCACCGGTGCGGCGAACATGTGTCTCGGTGCCCTCCCGCTCGTCTTGTTCATACTCCATCGCCAGGGTGTGTCGCGCACTTCCGTCCTGACGCTCCCGCTGCTCGCGGCGCGGCGTCGGTCGCCGCAGCCGCCGCTCCTCCCGCGTCCCGGCGCTCCTCCCGCGTCCCGGCCCCGCGCAAGCAGCTCGGCAGCCAACGCTTGCGTTTGGATCACGCCCTCCCACACCGACCGCAACGACCCAGGACGCCGGCGGCGACGAGGGCGAGGGCGAGGGCGAGGGCGCCCTCGGCTCGGCTAGAGCGGCCGAGAGGCAGTGCGGTCGCGCCTTTTACCGTGACCGCCGCGCCGCCACAGCGGGCGAGCTCGCGCGGGTGTGGCGGGGGCGAGGGGTGCCACGTGGCGGGGGCGAGGGCTGCTGCGGCCGTCAGCGTCAGTCTGCGTGTCGGGGCGCGTTCGCCCGCGTACGGCTCAGACAGGCGTCGGTCGCCGCCTCCGCTGCACGCGGGGCGTTGCGCTGCGCGAGGGCCGCCTGCAATTGCTAGCCATGTGCTTGTTTCACGGCGGCAATGGGTCACGCTCACGCCTCACGGGTGTGGGGCACGCGACGCTCGGACGGGTGTGCACTCTCGCTACCATTTTTCACATCTGCTGGTTGGACTAACGGCGTATTCTGTCAAATAAAAAGTCTGCTCCTTGGTCAGAAGGAGCCAGCGCGCCGCTCCTCAGGTCGGAGCCAGAGCTCGGGCCGGCGCCCGAGGAGGTCTGCGCGTCCCGGCATCATGGCTTTTACCTCGCCGACCGTGGTCATGATGCCGACGGGAAGGAAGAGCGTCTCGGCCCGCGAGACGTCGGGCCTGCTGATACGCACGACCCGCTGCCCGCGCTCGCGGTACCCCTTCAGGATGGCGACGCTAGCGAGATCCTTGACGGAGAACATGACGCCAGCGCCGGGATGCGCTGAGCGGGGCAGCCCTTGGAGGTCGGCGTCGGTCAGGCAATACTCGCTGCGGGCGCGGACGATGCCGAGCTGTGCGACGCCGGCGGGAACGAGTAACTCGAGTCCGAGAGGCGCAGAGGACGATGCCATGAGCTCCGCGCCGTCGTCGCTGGGCAGCGTGGCGACGAAGCGGGCTAGCCTTCGCAGATGGCGATAGTGGCGACGTCAGCGGTGTCGAGGACCAGCGGACACCTAGTGGGACGCCTGTGTGTCAGAGGAGCGCGTCGAGAGCGCGTCCACACCGCACAGGCACAAGTGTGCACGCGTGCGGCCGAGTGGCGGCGCGC